GGGTCCGTCCGGGTCCGTCCGGGTCTGTCGGTGCGTGTCCGTCAGCGCAGCTCTTTGTGCCGCGCGGCGGTTAAATAGCGGCTGCGGCGCATCAGCTGATTAGCACATGTCCGCAGTCACGACGTGGATCATCCGCGGATTTGATCACAGTGGAGCTCCGGCTGGGACCCGAGTGGAGCCGTGGGGGGCCGCGGGGGGCCGGGGACCGCCCGTAGGACCACCTGCCGTGGCCTGTGAGCTGGTTTCTGAGGAGGCTGACCGGGTTCCGCTCTGCAGCACCGACACGCTCCGTGGAAAGCCGCTCGTGCTCTCCTCAGGCTGCTGCTCAGCCTGTCAGCGCGAGACCGTAACGACAGCGTGGAGGGTCTGAGCGCAGGACGCACGTGCACAGTTTAATGTAGATTCACGCGCACGGACACAGCGTCACACTTTCACTGAATTTAAATCAGCTGAAACATTTTCGTGCTTTACGGACGTCTGCGTGTATTTTGACCGATTTAACAGTTTACATGTTAAACAGCGTTCCACAGTTCTTCTGTCCCTAAGTCCACCCCCTGCTGGTCAACACGAGGAAATGCATTTCATTACAGATGCTAACCTTAGGCNGGCGACGGTGAGGAACCCCAGAAGGTTCCTCCTCAGCGGCGACGGTGAGGAACCCCAGAAGGTCAGTGTCTGTCTGCGGACGGATCCAGGCTGGTGCTGATCCACAAAGGTCCCGTCAGCGTCTGTCTGTGGACGGATCCATGGTTCTAGTAGAATCCATTTCACCAACTGCTGAGGCTCTGACATCAGCAGAACCTGATGTGGTGAAGTTGGACCAGACGAGGTTCTGGTTCTACATGTTCAGACTAAATGCTGATGTGGATCATTGGTAGGAAGCAGAACCTGGAGTCCACAGGTTGTGGATGTGCAGAGCTCCAAGCTGCTTCATGTCTTCATGGTTCATTGAACATCACATGAAGCTGGTTCTGATCCACTGAATGTTTCTACTCTGGAAGGAAATCCACCCTTTTTATTTCAGGGTCCAATATGAACAGTTTACTGTCATTTACAGATTGTTCCTGTTCTGTTAAATTACAGATAATATCCAGTAAAGTCACCAGACAAGGATTCATTGACATGGTAGCTTCAAAACACTGTGAGGAACGTCCACATCCAGGATCTGGACTTGTTCAAAGCTGCTTTGTTCTTCTGCAACGTGTGGCCGTAAAGCTGAACTATTTTCCTGGATTTAAATCTGATCACAGGTCAGTATTTTACAGATGTTTGCTGTTATTGTCACAGTTTGTCAACATGACAGGATTTGAGCGTTTCAACCTGTTTCTTCTTCATCTTCTCCAGATTCTCTCCGTCTTTCAGTTTGTCTTCTTGCAGGGCTTGATGTCCTTGAAACCAGCGCTGAACACACAAACTGATGCTTCAACACTCATCGTGTTGTTCAGGTGGCCTCCGTCTGGTTTCTGCTGTTTTCGCTCCCAAACAACAAACCAGCGTGAGACGACACAGACGGACCCCGATATGTGGCGTCCACCAGAACCTTCCCTGAAGCTGCTATTTACAGAACTCCAGCAGGCCCTGAACACAACCCTGACCTCCAAGTAGAGCTACAGAGGTGCAGCTGCTGCAAATACAAACCCATGAAGAACATGTTCCAGGACTTCCAGACTGCATGTGACACCAGAGCAACGCTGACAGCGTCCCAATACTTTCTCCTCCAGATGCAGCGTGTCCATAACAGCGCAGGTCCGACTACATCCAGTGGGACTTTGCACAGCGTGAACCTGAACGCTGCTTCTTCTGGCCGTTCTGAGCCACAGTCCTCTTGCAGCTACATCACAGCGTCTCAGGTGAAGTTTCAGGTGCAACACGACGACAGAATCCCAGTTAGATGATGCTGCATGAAGCAGGACGTCCTCATTGATGAGCTGCTGGAGAACTACTGAGAGGAAGAAGAACGGATGTGATCTGGAACGCAGCCCAGATCCTCCTGATACATGAGTCCATCACTGACAGGTTCTAATGGTGCAAAGGAAACGTTTCAGACTAACCTTCAAGAACCTTCTAGAATATTCTCATGTCCAGGAATGCTCCTGTAACGTTCACGTGTTTCAACGTCAACATTCAGTGGAGACCATCAGGAACGTTATGTTCCACCATCAAGGAGGAACGTTCTCAAACCAACATTCACCAGATGTTTCCCAGATGTTATGGAGGCTCAGATGACAGAACATTTTAGAACGTTCCTGTAATGTGATCTAGTAGTAGAAGTGGAGGGAACCAACTATAGAACGTTCTGTGAAACGCTAAAGGAACAATGTTCCCTCGGAACACGTTGAAGTCGTTACTGAGACCTCAGATGATAGAACGTTCTTTATGAAACGTTCCTGTAATGCTACACATGAACAAAGGTGGAATGTTTTGGGGATGTTGTCATGGTAACACATGATAGAATCAACGTTCCACAGCGTTACGTGAGAACAAAGAAAGAATGTTCTAGCGCAACATTCAGTTATGAAAATGTTGGAGCATAACGTTCTCACAATGTTAGCACAAAAACATTGTTAGAACATGTTTAGTTGTCTTGCCTTCAAGAAGAACGTTCTGGGAACCAACAGAAAACGTCCTGCTGAAAACACCAGAGCTGTGCAGAACTTTCTCAGCGTGTCTGAAATGGAAACGTTCCATCTGAGGAAACACAACGTTCTGTGTGAGAACCGCTGCAGAACGTCCTGGAAGTAAGAAGACACAGTCATCGTTTGGGACCCTCCTGAACCTGGTCACTGCTCAGTTTGGACAGAACATTTATTGGATCATCATTAAAATCCATCCTCACAAAGCAACAACAAACGTGAGAACTTCTACACAGAGTTCAGAGCAGACGGAGGCCCGACGTGTGGAGCAGGCAGCTGCTGCTCAGCGTCCAAACATCTCCTGCGAGGCGTAGGTCATGTAGAGGAAGCCGTCCTCGTCCTGGTGGTCCTTGTACACCTGAGCCATGGTGAGCGACATGCTGGGCAGCCCGCTGTTGTTGATGAGCAGGTAGAAGGCCTGACTGGGCAGCAGCGCCATGCGGTTCCTGAGACACAACCAAAGACAAAGAGCTGCTGTTAGCGGGAGGCGTCCTGCTGACTAACAGCCTCGGCTCACGTCAGCATTTACAGTCCAAGCATTTGACAGATTTACTGCTGCAAGGCGACAAAAACCTGCAGGCGAGTCGCCAAGTCGTCGTCTTAATGGACCTCATGGTCCCACAATGCACCGCTCAGCTCCAGGAACAAACACCAGGAGAAGAACTGTCGTGTTCAGGGTCACAAAACAAAGTGACGTCACATTCAGATGACTTGAAGCCTGTAAACCCCAAACGGCTGCTTTCTGCTGCGGCTCATGTGTCTGTGCAGCATCAAGTCCTGCAGCTCTACGAAGCAGAACATGGAGGAGGAGAGAGAACCCAGAGACGTCTGCTGTCAGCAGGACTCACAACCATGGAGACCAGAGAGAAGGAAAATGGAAGCTGGATTAGCTTTAACCGGCGACCTTCTAGCTGTGAGGCCACGGTGCTAACCACTGATCCACCTGCAGCCCCTCTCCAAGACAATGGTTCTTAAACGGTTCTTCACCGAGTGAAGGAGCTCCTCATGGAGACGTGTAGCTCTGGGGTAATTAGAGGGCTATTTGTTGGCAGCTGACATTAGAAATTAGAGCTGCTGCTGTAAAAGGATCAACGACACAGTTCAGACGCCTTGTAAATCTCAGAATCACGTTTTTTTTGTTCTTAATGTTCCAGATTTAGAGCTTTAGAGACGTTTTACTGTCATAAACTTGGGTAGCAGCTGACGGCACCGGTCTGCTGGAACCACCGGTTAGTCATCTAAACGTTTCTGCTTCAGTCAGTTAATTATTTGGTCTGTAAGAGGCAGTGACCTGCTGCATCATCCCCAGACTAAAAGAGAAAACAAACTCTGAAACTTTGTGCTCGGCAGAATGAAAATGTCAAAGAAAAAGCTGGAGGTTAAGATGTGGTCCCACTTTAAGCCTTTTATTCTGAAAGTCATTCCTCAGGGCGTCTGTACACGAATCAAGTGTTTTCAATAAGAGCCAGTTTGTCTGAGCAGCTCGTCGCTGAACTTCCATCATGGAGACAAAGTTAAACAGCTGATTTTCACCATTTAAGTCCCAAACGTGTCGAGCTTTAAACCGCGTTGGAAAGAAGGAATGAGAGCGACTGGACAAGATGTGAAACTCGTCGGACGTTTGACCGCAGAGCAGAAAGGTCAGAAGTCTGAGCTGACGGAGGACGGCGGTGAAATCTCATCTCAGCTTTCATAGTTAGAGACACCTGAAGACAGCTTCTGCTGCCAAGTCAGGACCAGAAAAAAAAACCGAAGAGAAGCAAAGGAACCGAAGAACCTGAGCAGAAAAACTTCCAGAAGAAGTCGTTCACGTTTGGTTTTAGCTTCCAGGAATCATCCTCCAGCTGCTCACTGGCGTCTCCACATGACGGGCCTGGAACACGGAGGAGGCCCACTTTGAAGGAAAGACTTGGTTTGAAACGTGAAACGCATCTGAAACGGGTTTTGTTGTGCTTTGATATTAATGGAACGAATTCCCTCAACGGAAACTGAAACTAGTCCGACAGGTTTTTAAATTCACTTTTCGTTCTTCAAGCCGATAAAGTGCAGTTATTTGCTGTGATTACACGAGATCTCACTTTTCTGACCTTCTGGCAGCTCAGTTACTCATCGGCTGAAGCTGAAACTCACTGGGCTGGACGCTCAGCTGCAGACGGATCCCTCCAGCGGGTCACGGACTCAGAACAGAACACGGAGTTATTCTGACGGTCGATCTGGTCGGAAACTCGACTGGTTGCAGAGATTTGCTGCTTCTCTGCCGTTTCCCAGAACAAACATCAGGTTTGTGACTTCACACCGAGCTCGAGGGAACTGCAAAGATCTTTTTCACTCTTTAAGCCTCCTGCAGACCAAATTATTAATTAAAGCAGAAAATGTTTAGACGGCTGATCTGTCAACGAGCATCAGCTCCAAGTTTCTTCAGGTTTTTTTTTATTATTTTATCTTTATGTTTCTTATATTTGTCTTTTACTTGGCAAAAATATATATTGTAAATTCTACATGTGAAACTGCTTTATATATATATATATATATATTATATTATTAATCTTGTGTTATTTTGTTCATTGCTCCTGTGATAAAACTATTTCCCCTGTGGATCAATAAAGTTGATCAAGTCTCAGCAAAACGTCTCTACAGCAAAATATAATAATAAAAATAACAATAAACAGGATTCTGAGATTTAAAAACATAAATAAATGGACAATATAACTGACTAGATTTCATCACTAAAATCTTTTCTGTGTAATCTGATCGTGTCCACGGTACCGGCTGTGTCCGTCCGGACCTTACCTGATGACGGTGACGAACTGCGTCATGGTGAGCTCGTGCGGAACCAGGAACTTGGTTTTGTCCAGCGGAGGCAGAAACTTCTCCCGCTCGTAGCGCTCGATGATGACCTGCGAGGCGGCGGAGAAGAGCTCAGAGGTCGGCCACACCGGGGAGTCCTCCCCCGGGGACCCACTCACACACTTACCGGGACCTTGTTGGGGAACTTGGACCGGATCCCCGCCACCTCCTGCCTGCGTGTAGCTGCGCACAAACGACAAAAGTGAGTTCGTCGGAGTTTCTGCGCAACTTTTCTCGTCTGTTTCTGCGACATTTACCGAAACTCTTGCGCTGCTTGAAGCGCTTGTTGGTCGGCTGGCTTTTGTCAAACGGAGGCATCCTGTCGGTGCGTGTCCGGGTCCGTCCGG